GCCAGGTTTCTTGCACACAAACAACACATGTGTTGGAATTAATGCGTGTGTTCAGAATAGAGGTTAAATCCGAGATCTTTGCGAATAGTGAGCGAACGTTGGTGCTGACCAATGGTGGCACAGTCATCTTTGCAGGTGTGCGAGTAAGTGCAGTCTGTCATCCGGCCCGTCGGCGTTTTTTGATCACAGGGCTTTTATGACTCTCACCAAGCAAATAATCAGTGGGTAGCACATAATACACAGTTTTTAGTCGTAGCATGTCCTGACGAGAATATTTGTAGATCCTGGTCATGATTAGCACCGTTATATGGATGAGTTAAACGATAAATTCCAACGTGACGAACAACCACGAGAGTGTAGCGCAGCCAATCGAAGGGCGCGCGCGATGACATGGATCAGCCTAATATTTCTCACACTTCTGATAAAATATTAAATTGCTCATTAAAACGAAGTAGCGGTGGTTTATGGAAACTCAGCCGTAGCATGTCTATGTACACGGAGTGATTAGGTGGAACACTGGTTGAGAACTACAGCACTGATAGAATACGCAAAAAGCAAACGAATTTGCTCCGTTACCAAACTACTCACTTGGATAAGGAGCGACTGATCGGAATGTCTCATTATGTCTATACAAGATAGAGCAAAACACAGTTAGAAACTTGTCCTAAGGAAAGACGGCTTGCAAAAATAAAGGTACTGTGTTTTTAATGCAGACATTTGGTGCTTTTTATTATTTATACTCTGAACCACATACACAACGTCACTAATCAATGATAATACTCATCCATTGGGCACCAATCTAGAGGCGGGCTGCACCAACCGAGGCGAGTGAGCAAACTAACTTCTTTATACTCATAGCCCAGGTCCTGGTATGACTGCCTAGATGATTCGTTCAGACTCGCCTGGCATGTGCAACGAGAGCACGGGGAGGTAGACAACTGACGTAACCAGAAGAGATTGACAAAACGTTTGAGGCAATGTCGAGCAATCTCTTCTTTTAGAAAACGACTATCAGCAATGAGGGATCTCAGTGACGAATATCGTCACTGCTCACACAATTTTACAACGATATCCGTGGTCAAACACAGAAAGTGGGTCAGCATCTTCGGTGTGAAAACACGGTCCCGTTTCTGTGCTTCTGTGGTAGTATCGCAGAGATGGAATATAATCTGCAAGTGCCGAACAAACTGTACGCGAATCTGGTCAACACTGGTGCGTATTTCGGTCGAGCCTGATCCATTGGTGTACGGTGTAGCCACTTGGATTATGGATTCTGTTGCAGCATCCTGATACGGAGGTAAGCACTGGCTCAACTGTTGATCGCGCATGATCATTTGTATCGGCGGAGCATGGTCCAATATGCATTCTCACAGGGGAGGGAGAGGGGAAGGAAGGCAAACACACACACACATTGACAAGTAGGCCTAATAGAAAGATAAACGACCAATATGTATTAGATGGAAATTGGGGTATGACCGACACATGTTTCAAAATCGTACCCCCGCGCTTCAACGGGAGATAGAGAAATCTGTGCTGTACGGTGGTCACTTATACCTTCTGCAATTCAACTTGCCCGAATATCATTTCAAATTGCGCGAGTATCATTTCAAGATGTCATAGCATCATTTTACGCTGTCTCGTTGACCTCATCGGCGCTGACAAGCCTCCCAGCGACGTTTGGATGACCACCATGCAGCGCAGATTTCTCTACCCCTCGTTGAAGGTCTGGGGACGATTGTCAGATGTGCCTCGGTCACACACACACCTCAGTTCCCATGACATACATAACGGTTGTTTATCTTGCAAGTATGCGTATGCGTCTCTGTGTGTTTCCATGTGTTTGTCCCCCTCCGCTGATACCAATGAATCGGGCGCGGTCAACGCCTGAGCCATTGCTTACCTCAGTAGTATGATTCTATAATAGAATTCATAAGCGACACCTCAAATGGTTGCACTGGGACACCGATCGGCCACGCTCGATCGATATACGCATCAGTGTTGATCAGATTCATGTCCAGTTTGTTAGAATCTTTCAGGTTAGATTTCATCTCTGTGATACCACCACAGAACCACCTTCGAGTCATGAACAAGAATCTAGCATAAAAGGACCCTCTCTCCACTAGGCCTTAGTCGAACATAGACGACCTACTATACGATTCATATCTCCTGCCAAAGTCATGATATTGGCCCGCTCCCCTAATGCAGGAAGGCGTGTGGTCTTGGGTGACCTCTGACTGTATCAAGGCTGCAGTCTGTGGGTGAAAACGCTGAGACAACAAACAAGTTGCATGTACCGGAGTGGCTACCGCTTACTTTGCCTCAACCTCGGTGCACAACCGACTGTCTACTTGGGATACGATCCAACCGCGCCACTTCAGCTCTCTCAATGAGTGCCACAAGGGTCAAAAGTGACAAACTCGGGGTCGCATCAGAGGAGTGGAGAAGTTGGAGTCTTGGAGGCGATTCCCTTGGAGGCTGCACACATCTACAACGTACGATGTAAACACGCTCGTTGTCCTATACGCCTTACAAAGATTCTCACGTAAAATGCTGTGAGTTTGAAGGAGAATGGGGAGGATTAGAAGCAACTCCTGATGGAAGCAAGCTCTGTGCTACTTGGATATCACAAGAAGAACACGAAGGATTTACGCCGGACTTCCTTCGAAGATATTAACAAATTAACGGGTAACTAAAGCGGCCGTTGGGTGTTCAAATAAGATACAGGGAGCCTGAGCCTGTGTACAGAGTCGGGTTGTTTTCGTTGGTGGAAGAGCTTCAGCTCAATAGAGAATAATCAATCATCGATTTCGGATGAATTGTGTTGTGGGTTATTGTACTGACCGATCGCCCGGTCTAGGGTAAGCCTTTTTCGGAAATGCACTCTGATCTTTGCACAAGTAAGCACAAGCAGCGTTCATGAAACCGCGATAGCAGCCGCAAAAAATAGCCAACAATGATGCAAAAAGAGACTCACTTGGACTGTGGGAAGAGTCGCCGGGATTGTTTGACTCCTGGGTGGCACCACATCACCGATCTCCCCATATTCCGTAGGG